ACATAGAATTACAGATCTCTCTTCATCCACCAAACATATTGTTATATTGTGAAACAATGTTTGGTCAAGCACAGTTTACACATGGTAGATCTGTGATGACTTTTTCTGGGATACAATAGAATAGAATATCTTGGTTAGAAGGGACCTAAAATGATCACCTAGTCCAACTGACTGGCTAATTCAAGGCTGACTCAAACTTAAAGGATGCTATTAAGGGCTTTGTCTAAATGCCTCTTAAATACTGACAGACTTAGGCCATCAACCACCTCTTTAGGAAGCCTCGTCCACTGTTTGACCAGCCTCTCAGTAAAGAAATGCTTCCTAATGTCCAGTCTAAACATCCCCTGGTGCAGCTTTGAACCATTCCCATGCTTCTTATCATTGGGTACTAGGGACAAGAGCTCAGCACCTCCCTCTCCACTTCCCCTCCTCAGGAAGCTGCAGAGAGCAATGAGGTCACCCCTCAACCTACTTTTCGCCAAACTGGACAAGCCAGAAGCCCTTAGCTGCTCCTCACAGTACATGCCTTCCAGCACTTTCACCAACTTTGTTGCCCTCTTCTGGAAACATTCGAGTACCTTAACATCTTTTGCAAATTGTGGGGCCCAGAACTGCAGACAGTACTCCAGATGAGGCCCCACAAATGCCAAATACAGCGGGATAATCACTTCTTGTGACTGACAGGCTATGCTGTGTTTGATGCACACCAGGATGGGGTTTGCCCTCTGGGCTACCAGGGCACACACTGCTGCCTAATACTGAGCCTGCTGTCAAACAGCCACCCCGCCCAGATCCCTTTCTGCAGGGCTGCTCTTCAGCCACTCCTCTCCCAGTTTAGACTTGTGCTCAGCATTACTCTGTCCCAGGTGCAGAGTCTGGCATTTGGACTTGTTAAATTTCATTCTAATAATCTGTCCAATGCTCCAATCTATCTAGATACCTCTGCAAATCCTTCTGTCCCTAAAATATTCAAGAGCACCTCCCAGTTTGTTGTCATCAGAAAACTTGCTAATGGTACTTTCAACTCCTACATCTGGATCATTAATGAATATATTGAACAGGACTGGCCCTAGAATTGAACCCTGAGGAACACCACTGGTAACTGGCTGCCAGCCAGACAAAGCCCCATTCACTACAATCTTTTGAGCCTTGCCCTCAGACAGCTCTTCACCCAGCACACTATGTACCCAGTCATCTCATAGTTGGACAACTCATCCAGCAGAAGACTGTGAAGGACAGCATCAAAAGCCTTACTAAAAGTCAGAAAAACTACATCCACTAACTTTGCTTCATCCACTAGGACGATGACCTTATCTTAGAAGGATATCAAATTAGTTAAAGAAGACTTTCTGTTTGTGAACCCATGTTGACTGTGCCTGTTGATTGCATAGTCTTTGCAATGCCTTTCAACAGTACCCAGTATGATCTTCTCCATAGTTTTTCCAGTAACTGAGGTTAGACTTAACAGGTCTGTATTGGCCTGCAATTTCTTGGGTCTCCCCTCACCCCCTTCTTGTAAATTGGAATAGTATTTTCTAGCATTCAGTCAGCAGAGATGTCCCCAGACCCCCAAGACCTTTGGTAGATGATCAAGAGGGGTCCTGCCATAACATCTGCTAGCTATATCAGTACTTTGGGATGAATCCCATTAGGGCCCATGGACTTGTGAACATTCAGCTGTTACAGCTGGTCCCTTACAATTTCAGTGTCTACAAATGGAAACTCATTGTTTCCACATCCGTGGTCCTCCAGCTCAGGGGACTGGGCAGCTCAAAGTCTGCCAGTATTATTAAAGACTGAGGCTAAAAAAGCATTGAATGCCTCCACTTTTTCTTCATTCCTAGTAGTTGGGTGACCATCTTCAACAAGTATTTGTCCAAAGTTTTCTTTATGTCTCCTCTCACTATTAATATACTTTAAAAAGCCCTTCTTGTTATCTGGCACAACACTGGACAGTTTTGACTTTAATTGATCTTTGGCTTTTCATGCCTTCTCCCTGTCCATATGAACCACAGCTCTGTAATATTCCTATGAAGCCTAACCTTGCTTCCATAGATTTCTTCCATACAATTTCTTTTTCCTCCTTATCTCCAGGAGGAGTTCCCAGTTCAGCCAAGCTGGCTTTCTGCCCTGCCTTCTTGACTTACAACACAGTGTAACTGCCTGTTCCTGTGTTTCTAAAAAGTAGTTCTTGAAAATTGACCATCACTCGTGGACTCCTAAGCCATCTAAAGCAGATTCCTAGGGTACTTTGATAAATAACTACCTGAATATCTTAAAGTTTGCTTCCTTGAAATTCAGGGTAGCAACACTGCTGTCCTTTTCTCTCATTACACTGAAAATTTTCAGTTCAACAATTTCATGAACACCATGGCCAAGATAGCCACCTACCATCACATCTTCCATGAGTCCTCCTCTAGTCACAAATAGTAAGTCTAGAAGGGCATCTTTCCTAGCTGGTTTACTGAGTACTTGTGACAAGAAGTTATCCCCTATAAAATCCAAGAATTTCCAAGACCTGCTCATCACAACAGTATGATATTCCCAGCTGATGTCTGGGAAGTTGAACTCTCCCAAAAGGACAAGGGCTATTGGTCCAGAATTTTCTCCTAATTGCTTATAGAATAATTCATCAGTGCTTACATCCTGGCTGGGTGATCAGTAGTAGACACCCACTACAACATCTCCTTTGTTTTCCATCTTCCCTGATCCCCACCCAGAGACTCTCAACCACATCATCACTAACTGTAAGGGCTGTACAATCAAGCCTCTCCCTTATATATAGAGCAACAACACCTCCACCTAGTCTGCCCTGCATATCAATCCTGAATAGCTTACAACCCTCCATCTCAGCACTGCAATAGTGGGACTCATTCAACCAAGTCTTGCTAATACAAAAGATATCATGCTTCCAGGTACTAACAAGTGATTCCAGTTCATCTTGTTTGATTCTCATACTGTGTGCATTGGTGTACAAGCATTTCAAATGTGCTCCTGAACTCTTCTTTCTCTCCAGGAACAGTGTAGTAGCATTGCAACCCTCATGTGATGCCACACCAACCCTTGGTTTATCTACTGCAATCTTGTAGGTATACCCTTTGCCCATCATTTCTACTTTAAATCTCTCTTGTTCAGTCCATCTTACTCTTAAAGATACTTTTCCCCCATCAGAACAGGTGGATCCCATCAGGCCCCAGCATACCTTGTGTCTCGGAGGGTCTTCCACATTTCAGTAACCCAAGGTTTTGGCATAAACACCAGTCCTGGAACCAGGTATTGATGTCCTAGGCTCATCTATTTCTTCCAAAGTCTCCCTCCATTACTTGGAGGATCGAGGAAAACTCTACTTGTGCTCCTGAATTTTTTAGCATTCTTTCCAAGGCTCTCAAATCTCTTTTGATCAAACTCCAACTTTTTGTTGCAATAGCATTAGTACCCACATGAAAGAGTAGGAATGGATAGTAGTCTGATGCTTGTACTAAGCTTTTCAGTCTTGTGGTGATATCCCTAATTTGGGTCTCAGAGAGGAAGCAGACCTGAGACTTTCCTGAAAAGTCTGCAAATGGGTGCTTACGTTCTTCACAGGAGGGAATCATTAATGACCGTAAATCACTATTGCTTCTTCTTTGCATTGGTCTTAATGCTGGTTTTATTGAGAGAGGTTGGTGTCTCTGACCTTCTGACTCCTTTCATAGGTTCCTTCTCTATCTCATTATGTGTTTCTTCCACTGTACCCAGGGACTCATAACTATTCTGTAAGGATATATGAGAGGATAAGGAAGGGTTTCTCTTATGGGTCCATGCTACAACCTTATTTCACCCCTCCTTATGCCTTTTAACACTGTCTTCTTCCTGGCACAAAACAGATCCTGGACTTGCCTTCATAGTGGAGATGCTAGGTTGGCTTGCATGCATCAGGGTTGGTAGAGTGCAACTAGATTGATCAATCTCCTTCTCAGATTCTTAAATACTCATCAGTCTGTCCACCTTCTGCAGCTCAGACACCAAACAAAGCAGGTCATCTATCTGGTCAAACCTCCTCCAGGCTTGCTCTCAATTACTCTCCACTTCCAGTAATATCCCTTTACACATTATATAGCTGAAAAACTGTGTGGTTTACATACTTGGACAGGAGCTCTGTCTGTGTGGTTGCATTGGTTTTACCAGGTTCTAGAAGCTCAGGAGAAGAGAGGACACTGCTTTTTACCAGGTGGTCATCATACTGCCTGCTGCCACTCTGCCACTGCCTGCCCTTCTTGTGCCTGCAAATAGCTTTTATGAGGACATGTTCTAGAATTTTTCCCAGGAAGTAATGTGAAACTGTTTGGACTATGGCTTTCTGAAACTTCCTTTTTGCCTCTTTTTTTTTTTTTTTTTTTTTTTTTTTCAGATGGATATGATATTTGTCACTTTTTCAATCACTTGGGAATTCCTTTTATCTTCATGACCTTTCAAAGGTGATAGAGAGCAATTTAAAATTGAGAGACTTTTTCATTAACCTTCTGGTTTAAAAATAGTTTGTCATAATTTTGAAGACTATAATCCATAATAAGATGAAGAGGTTTGGAAAAAATAAACAGTACTCTAAGATCAAAATAAATGTTCGTCTTTGTTATTCAGAAATCTGTATTAAATTACTTTGCTTTGAAACACTCCTATTTTCTACTTCTAGATGTTCTGGTTTTACTTTCTTCAGTATCAGTATTTAGAAATTTCTACCTTATATGAATAAATATTTTATTTACATTTAACAGTTACAAATTAATATAACATTAAATTTTATAAGAATTTTTTTAAAATATAAAGTATTTTGTGAATTTATTTATATACATGTTGTATCACACATTCAAGGAGGAATTCAGAGTGTAATAGTTTATTCTTCCATCCTTTGTATGAGCGTTCTGATGAACCCTTAAAGTGACAGGAAAATAAAATGTAATGAATGTCATATTACATTTGGAAGACCATGAAAAATGTAACCAACACAATTTTTGTTCCAGGTGGGAGTAAAAAGCAACTGCTTTCCTGACCTGTTATGACCTAGTTAAGAATTTGACTGACAGAATGTTGGCACCAGCTGTGGAAGCGCTGATCAGCCTCAACTCCAAGTAAGTGAAGTCTTAATCATTTGAAGGTTCATTTCAGACTAAATTTACAAATCCTGTTGATTTCTAACAACAAACATAAATTAAAAATGCAGTTTCTAAGACACTGTAGAACACTTCGGTTTCCCATGTTGTGGAATTCAATTTCTCAGTTAAACACATCTTTAAATCAGTACGTAACGTCACCTCTTCAGAACGTTATTTTGCAAACTTAATGACATCGCATTCTGATTCCTCTTACTCTCTAGACAATTTAAAATACTCAGTTAAAATAATGACAATTTATTATAAAACATAAATATAAAACATGAACATATATACATATATTCAATGATCAAGAAAATGTAGATAAATAGTAATCTATTTGGTGTAGAATACAAACATAAAAAAAATGTAAGAAACATTATATGGGTGGTAATTAAATGGATCTTATTACATTTCTCATGGAAGAAAACATGTGAGATGATTGTGGATGAAGGACAGAGTCAGAAGCCTTGGTTCTCTGTAGATGGTATCTGAGGGAATCCCACAAGTTAACCCTCACATGTTATGAGCTAAGGTGACAGCAGTGACAAAGCCTCAAAGTGCAGAAATTACACATATTCGTAAAAAAAAATCTGCAGAGAACTTCTTAATGGAAATATGTGGAAGGCAACAGCTGTGTTAAAGCACATCTCTCATCCTTGTAGTCTTAGTTTTTTATTTTTCATGAACTCTGGTACCTCAGTTCAAAGTAGAATATTTTATTTTCCCTTATATTCTCTTCTGGTAAAGGTAAAAAAATTCTACTTTTCTACAGCTAGTAGGAACTTACAGAGAAGACAAAGGCAGGATGGTTTCCAGTTTGTCAGATCTGCTTTTTGCTCACAGTATAACAAAGTATAATTTTTCAGTGAAAGTCTATTTTTTTCTTTGAACAACTGCTAAGAAACCCAGAGGATACTAGTCTAGGAAAAGGAGAAAAGTGAGAGAGGGAGAAGGAAAAGAAAGAAAGAGAGGTGGTGAGGGTGAAATAAATAAAAGGTGTTCATGCATCAGAAACAGGCAAGATATGATATTGGAAAAAAAAATGTGAATCTCCCAAAACATGCTGGTGTTACCACAAAATAAACTACTAGCTCATATTATTACAATACTTGATAGTTTGGAAATTGCCCAGAATGTTTATTTTCAGAGCTATTGGCATAGAGACAGGTGAATAGAGGAGCCATATTACTCTCAATTGCTGTGTCAAGCTTGGACCACCAATTGCTTTACCGATTATCATAAATGCTGATAAAATTGAATGGACGTTTTGCCTTTGTACACTGTTAGCCAAACCAATAAAGGCTGTGTCTTGTATATATAGTATTTCCTACATAAAATAAAATAACTAGGAGTCTTCACAGGTTCTCAAATGCATTGAATAAAATGTGTCAATCTTCTTTAAGAGTTCTTTGTAGACCAGTCATAGAGGGGAAGGAAAGTTAATGTACCATATTCTTGATTCAAACTGAGAACAATGTTTATGTGAGCAGCTATTTTTCTTTTAAAACTTTCAACTAGCAATTTTACCCTCTATTAGTGTTTGATGTGTATCTCAAAATTTTCTGGAAGAGTGAGAATATTCCTTCAGCAATGTGGTGATTGATAGCTGCATTTAGGAAATCCTTCTATTATAGGCAGCTTATTTTCTCCAAGTCTCTATTACTCTTTGAAAGCAAAAGAGTCGGAGGAAGTTTTATTAGTGGTTACCGATAAAGATGAGGCACAACAATGGGCTAAAAAAGGGGAGTTTTTTGTTATTTGCCAGTTTCTGGTGAGAGGAAACAACTAATAAGCAAGATCCCAGCTGCTCTAGACAGACTGCGGCATTGTAGATAAAACATGAGTAACTGTAAGGTTTGGGTGCAATAAAGAGAACATACCTTGAGCCTTACAAAATCTTAATTCTGATGTGACTTTCTGTGGCATCCAAGGAGGAACTAGATAGGGAAAAGGTGTCTGAGTTATTTTCTAACAGTAATGCTTCATTTGTGGCAAGACCTCTGTTAAAAGCTCCATTTTCAGCCACTCCTTATGACTGATACAGGTCTTTTGAGCTAAACAATCCACAGTAGATAGAAACAGCTGAAAAATTGACAGAAGTCACCAAGTTTCTTGGGATTAACTGATAGAAAGTAGCATCCTAAAACTCAGATGACAGTGAGAGCCATCCCATACCAAAAGATCATATTTATACACAGTATGCAATAGAGTTGCCTTGATTTCTGCATGAAGTCTAGAACATCTTGTGTTAACAATAATTTCCCAAATTTTTTTTTTTTTTTTTTTTTTTTTTTTAATATCTTTGCCAATCATCAGTGGGATACATAGCTAGAGAGAGGAATTCTCAGGATAGGAAACGATTACCTTGTTAGCCCTACTGAGTCTGAATAGGATGACTATGACTATTGCCTAGGTATCCTGGAGATTGGTAGCCTTATTTAATAAACATAGATTTTACTGTTGTCAGCTTATTGGGTTTTGTTAGCCTTTTGCAGTTGCTTGTAAATAAAGGAGGGTTTTATATGTTAAAATTGAACAATCAGAGATGATTAATTTTCTTCTGTTTTCTGACATAAATCAGCAAGCTTTAGATTTTCAGAAGGCAACGCTAAATTACTAAACCTAAAAATGTTTGCTACTGACAACAGTTTGTGGAAGATAATTTCTTTTAAATTCATGGTCTTATTATTTAAAGTAGAATAATTTTTATAGCTCTTTGCCAGATATTTCAGTATTATGAGGTCAGACAAAGAAATCAAGGGTCGTTATAATTCTCAAGCAAGAAAAATGTTGTACTTCACAGATGCTTGTATATTAAGCAGAAGTAATGTTGGAATATATTGGAGATTGTCTATTTCTTCAATCACGTGCATGGTAAAATTAGAACCAGTACTAATGTACCGACACACTACATTTTACTGGATATTTCATCCATTCTCTTTTACAATATCATGTTAAAATTCTATGTCTCACAAACTCATCTCAAGATCAAAGAAGCAATATAACTTAGCGGCATACAAGCAATTTCAAGCTTCTGCTCAACAGTGCTGAGCACTCTGCTGTGTTTTATGCAACATGTTAAGCTAAAGAAATATCCCAGTAATGTCTGAAGATGAAATAATCTTTTGTCAACAAATTTCACATTAAAAGGAGAGAGTCATAAACAATGGACATGTTCAAAAAGTTTAGTTGATTGACATTTGTTTGGCACTTTACAAATAGAGAAATGACTTCTAATATAAAAGATGTATTTATATGACATATCAGATGACCAATATTTCTCAGGTGGTAAAAGGTGATATGAAATTATCAGAGTTAATAAGCATAGCAATGGAAAAAAACAGACCTCAACATTGTGATGTGGAATGTGACTGGTGTGCACATCCCTTTAAGGTCATAGCCACTTATAGTAGTTTTATTTAATTTATTTCTTAGTTTAAAGTGAAATTATAAATTTAGAAATATCATAATAATCATGTAAGGCAGGTAAGTAGCATATTACCTTTTTAACAGCTGCTATAAACTGTAGTACAGAGGTTGGTCCAAATTATAGATGCAATATTTAAGAAGTTCAGGAAAATCCAAGTCCATGCAAATCATGCCTATCCCGTGTGATAGCCTTGATGAGAAGACGGTAGTCAGACAAAGATGTGTATCCTTGATCACTCTGACTTCAGAGAGTCCTTGATGCAGCTTTCATAGTATCTGTGTTGCTAGGTTGTTGATATATGAACTAGATAAGCAGTAAACAATGTGGGTTGAAAACAGCCTGGACTGCTGGATTTACTGCAGTTTGCCAGAAAGCAGTAATTTCTCTCAGAGAGCAATACCAGGACCAATACTGTTTGATATTATTCATTAATGACCTGAATGATGGTACAGATTTCACTCTTGCCATGTTTGCAGATGACACAAGATCTTCATGGAGTGGTCAATATCCTAGAGGACAGGGCTGCTGCTCATAGAAATTATTTGAAGGGAGCCTCACGAAAGTCAATGCAAAGTCCAGCATCTGGGAGGTAACAGAAGAGGCTGAGGCTGACCAGCTTGGGAGCAGTTCTACAGTAATGATCCTAGGAGCTCTGGGAGACACAGGGCTGGCCCAAAGGCAGCAGTACACTCAGGCACAGCACTCCCACATCCTGGACTGCATTAAGAAAAGATTCAGCCAGCAGGTCTGGGGAAGTGATCCTGTGCTTCTGTTCAATACCTGTGAGATAGCATTTGGCATGCTGTGCTCAGCTTTGAGCACTCCTATAATAATATACTATTATTACAGACATGTTTCTCAGAAGGACTGTGGCTTCTCCATTCTTGAAAGTACTTAAAACCTGACTGGACAACATCCAGAGCAATATGCTTTAATCAGATGTACTTTGCACAGAGGGTTTGGACTAGATGACATCCAGAGGTTCTCTCTATAGATTCAACCATTCTCTAGTTTTGTGGCTGCAAACACTAAATAAAACATTAAAAGAAAGAATATTCAGATGCTTGACCTTTATTTAAGAACAGCATGTCTATGAGAAACTGTCAACTACTCTTTTTTCCCTGTGCTTTTTTGGAGATTCATCGCAGATTAGAGTTAGGGAATTTACCTGGTTAAAGAGGAATAGTGTTATTTAGAGACATCTCCTTACTGTAACATACAGACTTCTTTTTATTCTGGATGTCAGGACAATCTTCTTGAGGAAAAGTATGAAAAGTAAGTGAAATTATTAGAAATATAGGCTAGAATGTGGACAAGATGCATATTATTACAGATTGCAGCTAAGTGCATTCCAGATTAATCTTTACATCGGTATATATTTAGTACATACTTTTCATATAGTTCCTAAATACTTCCCTGACATATGATGAGAAACTTTTACAGAACAAATAGAGTATACTGACTAAATTGTTTAAGACTTGGAAACAATTTATATCCTCTAGAATACAAAAAAATCAGATGAACAGTGAGCTTGATAAATTGTATA